TAGTTTTATGAGGATGTATTAAAAGTTTTAAGGGTTTGTCCAGGAAGTACGCCCGCTTCTTCTCCGATTTATTCGGCAGACTGTAGGAGCTCGGCCCCTGCGAGGCTCGGGGTAGGCCACGCCGCACTGCACGCCTGCACTGCAGGAAATATGTTGCCTACCTACCAGGCGCCATGAGAGCTCGCATGGGCTAAACTGGGCAGGTTTAAGTTAGTCACGGCGAATGACGGACGTATTTTCTGGGTATCCATTACAAAAGAACAACAGAGTCCCTCCTCTCGACAGAAAGTGTGGTATATAGCGAGAGAGAGAAATCAGCCCCTGTCCCTGTCCCACAAACGAACGCCAATAAACGAAAACTTCACAGGGGGATGAGGGCGAAGCGAAGCGAGTGAGGGAGTGTAAGAGAAAGAGAGAGCGAGAGTGTCCCGCGTGACGTCAGAGAGAGCGGCGCGCCCCAGTCTCTGTAACGCTGTGACACTCTTGTGACACTCCGTGACAGGCGGACACGAGATTCGTGATTCCCTTCACCGTTGTCAGCGACGAGGCAAAAGGCCGGCACGTGTGTAGGGGAGGGGCAAGGGAGGGGGGGGGGAGGGAGAGTAGGGGGATAACGAATCGGTGGGCCAAGGTTCGACCCAAAACGAGGGCCTTTATATTGGAGGAGAGGGAGAGGAGGGGTACATGCGCGACAATAACATGGCATTTTTACTATTGACCCTTTGTCAGCACTATATGGAGGCAGGAGAAATATAAGAGTAACGACGAGGTCGAACGACGCTCACAGACGGGACCTTGCTTTAAGGGAGGAGGGGGGGGGGGAGATGTTACGGTATATCGCGGTCCACTGTTATACAGCTTATTCCACCCGGCACTCGGCGTCCCCCTCGGGACCAACAAGTGGAGCGAAAACTCTCCCTCCTTCTCTCCCATTTTCTCCTATCTCTCCGTCCGATCGGACGGCCCGCTCTGGCGCCGTGATACTATCGACTTGACCGCGGGAGCGTCGCCATACTGTTCCCCCTCGCCCCCCCCCCCCCCGGGTCCCAATGGAAACGTCCAGCATCTCGCGTGTGAGTACGGCCGTGTGTCGTTGACGAGGAAATGTTTCGATTTCTGAAATAAAATATTTAACGAGGGAAATTCTCTGCCTGCATGATGTCGGGACGTTGCGACATATATAGAGACAAGGGA